CGTACACAATGGCACACAAATAAAAAAATACAGAAAACCTTCCCTTTCCTTCCACCCAACAACTGACCATAGCTTATCTGCAAAGGCTACATACTTCAGTTCCCATGGCCAAAAACCTGTAATAACAATAACTACATGAGACAAAAATAGAGGCTACCAAACTAAGCAATTTAGCAAAGACTAACAAGATGACTCGATGCACGAAAAAGTACGCAAAAGACTAACTAAACATTATAGCATCCCAAAGCGAAAAACTTTTGAATTGGACCAATGCTGCGACAACAATATAGCTTATTGTTTTCAAATAATAACTTCTCGTGAAAAACCTTCACTAAACTCCGCTTCAGCCCCTACGAACCAATCTAAGAACAAACTGAAACATTAATCCACCAAAGCAAGCCAAAAACAAAAAACTACCCAACTAAACGTGTATGCACATGGCTTCCCTCTCTTATCAAATCAAAGCCAATAAATGCGCTCAACTTCAAGCTAAAAGAAACGATTCAACCAAAATAACTAATAGCAGACTATACTAAACGAAAAATCAGCCCCACAAAGTACAAAACGTACTACTTGAAAAGAAAAAAAAAAAAAAAAACAAAACAGATTCGCTTCAGTTCAACCCAAGATTTTCAGAACTGTCCTTGCTAATGCAACTTATGCCACCCAGTTAATCACCATAATTTTCCAAGTATTCGTCAAAACCAAACAAATTCAGCATCTATCGGCATCTCCTTGTAAAAACAGTATTGACAACTGATTGAAATTTGAGATACATCTTATCTTATTCTAGAAAGATGACGCTAAATACAATGCATTTTTTATTACTTTTTTCCTAAACACACTCAAACACACTACATTCCTCTTCAAACATATAAAAGCTTAGAACTATTCCATCCTAAAAATTCATTTTTCGCTTATCTTTATGATTTGACTTGGTTTTCGTCCGCAAATGCAAAACCAACTGGTCTTTGCTACAAAACAATTACAAACAACGACTATATGATATCCGCCAGCAAGCTTTTAAACCATTACCTTATAGGTGTTGTAAGAGTACGAAAAGAAAAATTAACTTACTTTTAATAAAACCAGAAAAAAATTATTAACCTTCTTCCTACTACTGAAGCAAACAATTAGGTCTGCATTAAAATTTGGTACTAACCCCAATGGACAAGTGACACAGAATGAACAAAAATATCACGGTAAACTGGTTGCGAGATGTAAGGGAAGAGAACATTAACAGTTGCATACAAGTTCACGTCCTGCCAGTTTTTTCTAGTCCAAAGAAAACAAGAGAGGCACCTCAATAAAACTTTGAAAATTATCTTTTAATGGTAAAATCGAGTTACTTCCTTAACCAGTAAAAAAATGAAAATAAAAATAAAAAAAAGAGCAATTGCCAATCCGTCTCCGTACAATTTACATTCAATTCTTTTTTCCACACAAATTTTTCCTTCACAGCAGATACAGTTTTAATACACCCAAATAAATTTAAGCCTACCAACTAAAGTGGTTTCAAAATCCATTTGAAGC